CCCCTCAGTTCTCTCCATGTGAACGGGATGATGGAATGCCTAATCACTGCTTGATTTCCCCCATGTATGCGGATAGCTCTAGCGGGCAGATTAATGCCCAATATTCAGAATGGGCTCAAGTAGTAGTGGCAGCGGGCAGATCAGCCCCTCAGTTCTCTCCATGTGAACGGGATGATGGAATGGCTAATCACTGCTTGATTTCCCCCATGTATGCGGATAGCTCTAGCGGGCAGTAGTAGTGGCAGCGGGCAGATCAGTCCTCAGTTCTCTTTACGTCAACAGTCCACAGGATGATAGAACAGGCTGATCAGCGGGCAGATTAACGTCCAATATTCAGAATGTGCTCAAGTAGTAGGAACAACGGGCAGATCAGCCCTCAGTTCTCTCCATACCACCCTTCAAATTCTCAAGTCCACTCCCTCTACTCTCACCCACGCGCTCTCCCGTTCAACAAATCTGATATGGTAGGAGCCAGGTGAGTGCAATAAAATAAATAAATAAATAAATAATAATAACAATAATAAAAACGAACAAAAGGACCCTCTCTCACACACTCACTCTGCACAGTCCCTCACCTCGACTCTCTCTAATTGGCTCTCTCCCATTCACTCCAACAGTCACGTTCTCCTCTTTCGTTCTCAATCCCGCTCGTGGACTATTCCTCACTCTCTCGTCAGTTGATACAGATGCTACCCGACCAGCAAGCTAGTTCACTGGCTTGAATTCAAATGCACTTGGACGCGGACAGATCCAGATGCGTGCGCGCGCTATCCAAAAAAAAACAGAAAAAAAACAATAGAGCAAATTGTTCTCTCTTATCTCTCTCTCACGCACGTATGCAGTTGCGATCTCCAGTCAACACCGGACGCCGCTACGCACGCCCTTGCACATTCGACCCAGCCTCTCCATACATCTGACTCGTCCCCATCATCTTTCTCGGCAATCCCGTTCAGAAGTCAACTGACCGGACAGGGATAATGGACACCTGGGGCGCTCTCCCTTAAGCGCCCTGACCCCGTCGAGCGCCTGCTTGATTCTCCCTGATCACTCCCTGAGAACCTGCGCTCCCGTTTCCAGACTGCATGTCCCCCTTCTCTCTCACTCTCCCTCTCACACGTGAGTAACCGCCTGAGCGCCGACGCGTCTCCCCCGTGCTTGCACTCGCGGGTACGCCTTCTTCTCGTCCGGCTCTCCCCTCTCTCTCGGCGTAACCGCCTGGGCGCCGATGTCTCCGCCTCGAGCTCGTCTCCCACTCTGCAACTGCTTGATGCCGGGCACACCTGGCATGCAATCCCATTCCCTTCACTGTTCTCCCCTATATCCCCTTCAGTCCCATGGTCTGACCGACCAGGGCCTTCTCAGAGTGCAAGTGTGCAGGAAGTAGTCCACCGCGCCACGGAGGAAAAAGAAAATAGTGGTACCGGTCTCACAGGCTCGGCGTCCACAGTACCCAAGCACCAGCTTCAGCCCACTGGCGTAGACAGCTCCGACGAGTTTCGCAATGGTTCCGAGCCGAGATAGTCCCCTACATCCCCCTCCTTGCCACGGGCTTTAGCGGGTCAGTGATATCTGAGTGACTAAGCACTTAGGCCCGTAGTGGCCACGGCGTCGGGGCAGGGGCCCCCATGTGGATCCACCTGTACTGCCAGTTTCCGCACGGTACCTTGCGAAACCGCGTGGCCCTTCAGACCCTGCAGTACCAGTAATCTTCGGGTAGCAGAAGTAGTCCCTTGAGCCAGGCAAGCTGAGCCCAAYCCCACCAAAAAAAAAAAAAACAGCTCTGCAGCCAACCCCCCTTTAGTCTGCATATGTCTTAAGGTTAACACTTCTATCTGCCGCTGGCCACACTACCCGTATACCGGCAGTTTGATGGTACCAAGTCCCATAGAACCCGAGCAAATGTGGCAATCTCCGACCGATCGCTGGATCAGCGCGCGTAAGTATCCCAGGCTAGTACACACACGAAAATAGTGGTACCCCGTTGCGGTGTCCAGGGTTGTCAAGCCCCGGCCCCGGGGCCCCGGCGGGGGTCCGGGGGTGGGCACCCCCAGCCCCGGCTCCAGACTCCCCCCAAAAAAAAAAATTCAAAAAAAAAAAAAAAGAATTCAAAAAAAAAATAAAAAAATAGTGGGGGGTGCGCAGCAAGAGCGCGCACCACATGGGCTAAACCCCAAAAATGGGGTTTTATGCCCCACCCCGGACCCCCCCCGGGGCCACACCCACCACTCCTGGGCCCGGGGTAGCTGCTGG